CCTCTTCTGTTCCATGGGGACACATATACTTAGATTGGAGTGCCCCCAGTGCCTGGTACAGTTGGCACTTAGCAAAGCCTTGTTGAATGAATGAATGAATGAATGAATGAATGACTGGTTAGAAAACACTGCAGAGCAAATGGGACCTGAAGTGTTCCTGGAGGGTTTAAATATGTGGAGAAGTGATGGGAGGGAACTCCCGGCAGGGACATGACATGGGCAGAGACATATGGCAAGAATGCCAGGTTTAGGGGACAATGACAGGTCACTATGGCTTCTTGTGGAGGAAAGTATGGCTCAGGAGGAGCCCCACTGAATTCCTCATCCTGAATCAATTTCCCTTGAGACCAACACTCTTAGGTGCTGACTCTAGTAGTTCCTTTAACACACCCTTTCATCTCCCATCTCAAAGTGCTTTGCAAGTGTTAATTAACTCTCTAAACTCTTAGTTAGGTATTATTTATCTACCTTTTGTAGATGAGGAAACTCAGGCACAGAGAGAAGTGATTAGCCCAGGGCAATGCCTAGGTGGGCGCTCTTCCCACCCTGGTCCCAGAATTCCCAAAATGCGGTGTAGGAGAAAGCAGGGAACAGAGTTAGATCCCTCTGCTCCCCCCTCCTACACCCTCATCTATACAAGAAACAGGACCAGGAAAAGAACAGTCAAAGTCATCAAAAAATAACTTGCCTTAGAATTTTTAAAAAGCCCTCCAATACTTTCTCAAATGTACACCTCCTGTTTGTTATAGTTTTCTTGGGCTTGTGGTTGGGCAAATCATTCAGTTGAGTGTTTCCTTGATATAATTTAGATTTAAAAGGTGTGCTTCACATTCCTCATCTATAAAATAGGAATCTTTCCTCAGTGTGTTGTTGAGAGTATTAAATGAATTAATATATTTATAAAAGCACTAATCTCAGGGCCAGATCTATTGGAAGGACTTGATAAAATGCAATCGCGATGATGGCTTTGGTGGAGCCAGCGGAATGCTTACCTTGATCTTAAGTGGTCCCTGGACATTTCCACTCAGGTGTCCTCCCATCACCTTGATTCATTTATTTGACCACCTTTTATTGTCCTTTTAGCACCTTGCTAGGTTTTGGGAATACAGCAGTGCACAAAGCAGACAAGGGCTCTGCTCTCTGATTCCATTCTGTCTTAGAGCCTGGTTCTGGAGCCAGAGATTTAAAAAAGAATCCCATAATGTAATATTCTTGCTGAGGTGAGCACTAGGAGCCTGAGGTCCATGATGTTCTGAGAGGGTTTAAGAAAAGAGGTTCCTGCAAGCCAGTGAGGGCATGGAAGATGCCTGGGGCAAGGGGTGCTCCAGCTGGGATCTGAGGGTGACAGGAAATGAGTGGTGAAGGAGAGAGGGAAGAGGGTATCATAAGGGGGAACAACATGCTGGAGAGGATGTCGGGCACTTGGGAGGAGAGAGGAACTAGCGCGGGAGGAGCAGGGTTCAGGTGATGTGAAATCAGTACTCCCACGGTAGCCCAGTTTGGTAAAGAGCATAGGAGCGGAGCTAGGATTGTCCAGAAGCCCAAGTGAGTGGCTCTGCCTGGAGAAGAGGGGGCAGGGTGGGATTTCTTTTACTTAGCCTCAAAAACTATTAAGCGTCTATAAGGTAGGTATCAAGCAGCAAACTTTGTCCTGTGCTGAAGGAGGGAGCAGGACAAGGTCCCTGTCCTGAAGGAAGTGACAATGGAATAGGGAGACAAAGGATCAGGTGTTGGCAGTGGGGGGTGGGGGGTGGGAGAGTGATCGAGATCTCACTTCGGCCATAGAGGCACAGTGAGGGAGGGGCACACTGTTTGCAAACACTGATCTAATTCAATAGTGAAGACTTAATAAGGACATCTAACCAACTAATGATAACCAATCACGCCTTGCATTGGCTTAGCACGTGGCAGTTTAGAAGGCCTATCCATTAACTCATTGGATAGTCACAATAGCGGGGCAAGAAGGTGGAACAGATGTTATCACCCACATTTTAAAGGCGATAAAGTTGAAGCTCGGGAAAGGTAAATTAAACGAGTGGTTTGACTTGTTGCTAATCCATTGGCAGACTTGGGGTTTTGATCTACCTGCTAGGAATTTGCTTCCTATGAGTTGTTTTTACCAGAATCTCCATCCAACCTGGGGTTTCTGGAAGTTCACAGCTGAAGATCAGATTCTGGTCCACACACCTGACCCTCCACATGAGCCGCCATTGGCCCACCTCTCTCTACAGCTCACCTGAGACAGGTGGTGTTTCCCTGTATCTGCAGTTATTATCCGAAGAATAATGAAGCTGCATTTCTTTACAAAATGTTCTCTGAATACTCTAAACTGGGGGACCATCTCATAGATTGTGCAGCTTGGGACACTTCTGAGAGTGAAAGGCAGATGTGATTCATAATTATGTTAGAACAACAGACAGGCACTGGGGCTGTCCCTGGCAAACTAGGTCATCTGGTCACCCTACCTATGAGTCATCTTTTTCACTAACTGGATTCAGATTCTTCCTTCTGTCCTCACTTTTTCTGAATCACTTGATCATTCAGTTATTGGATAATCATTGGTAGATGTTCTCAGCTCTGGGCTGCCAGGGACAATATTCTGGCTCCTCTCAGGAGACTCACCAACGGCCCTGAGACAGGAGCCCTCGGGCACCTTTCATTTGCCACCTTCACATGTGTTAACAAGTAAATCAAAGGCGATGTTCCTGGAGGGCAAAAGCCACGTCTGCTGTGACTCCCACAGCATTGGGCCTTGTGGGCATGTGCAGGAAACTGTCCACAAACACCACCAGGCAGGGCCTTTCCAAGCAGGAGGGAGACGAGTCGCTCTCCGGAATACAGCAGCGCTCAGCCCGTGATCCCTGCAGCTCCCACTCTCACATGCCCGTCCCCCTCACTCTCCCTTGGTTTCTTGTGCCTTGAAATACTCATCACATAGTCATTAATTATTTGTGAGCATTGGTTTAATTCTCGTTAGACCAGAGGGTGGGTTTCTTCATCTGCAAAATGCAGATGATAATAGTAACCAGCTCACAAGTTCCTATGGGGTAAGTGATTTAATACACATAAAACCTTTAGAGAATTTTTTGGCACAAAAGATGAAACAAAAATACCTCCTTTCACACCTATGCTCTTGTACACCTTTGCTCTTATCTTTCTCCAGCTCCCACCTGCCTTACCCCACCTCTGCGTCTAGGTAGAGCCTAATCACCTCATCCATTCATTCACTCACTTGTTCAGCAAACCTTCCTGGGCACTGAGCACTAGGCAGAAATTGATCAGATTATCTTGTAACAAATAAGCAAGTCCTTGCTCACAAGAAGCCCACAGGCCATTGGTATAGATCAAATAGGAAAATAATTTAAATCAAATAAAAAGTAATAAATCCCCCAAGAGACAGATTGAGATAAATAGGAGTCAGTACTTTTAGCAGAAGAGAGCTTGAAAGGCTGCCTGGAAGAAGTGTTATCTAAGCTCGGCTGGAAAAGATGGGTCATAGAATAACATACGGTAGCCCCCCTTATCAGCGGTTTCACTTTCTACTCTTTCAGTTACCTGCAGTCAAATTCCAGAAATAAACAATTCGTACATTTTAAATGGTGCACCATTCTGAATAGCTTGATGAAATCTCCTGCTGTCCTGCCTGGGGTGTGACTCATCCCTTTGTCCTATGTGTCCACACTGTACATCTCCTTACACATTAGTCACTTAGTAGCCGTCTTGATGACCAGATCGACTGTTGCGGTGTCACGGTGCTTGTGTTCAAGTCACCCTTATTTTACTTACTAATGGCCTCAAAGAGCAAGAGTAGTTTAAACTGTATCATAGGTATGTATGTACAGAGAAAACATCGCAGATACAGGGTTAGAAGGTCTCCGTGGTTTCAGGCATCCCCTGGGGGAACTGGTGTAATCATAACAATAGCCCCGTTTTTTTGAACATTTGCTTTGTGCCCTGTACTATGTACTTTTCATGGGTTATCTCTGCAACAAATCCTAGGAGGTAGGCACTATCCCTCTGCCTCCCTCTACAGATGAAGAAACTGAGTCTTCGAGCAGGTGACTAGGTCCCCTGAGGTTCCACAGCCGGTAAGTGGGGAGGAATCAGGATGTGATCCTAGGCTGTCCGGATCCAGAGCCTGTGCACTGCTAAACCCCACGGAGAGGGCCTTCATGCTGGGACCCCCGCCTGCCGGACCCTGGGATGCTGTCCCCTGCGATGTGTCTGGCACGGTGCTGTGTATGGGCCATGTGAACGCCAGCCCTCTTAGCCCTAGCTGGTCCTCAGTCAATACGCTGTTACACAGCAGTGAGCAATGTTCATGGGGTGCCTACCAAATTCCGGGTGCTCTTCTAAGAGATTTCCATTTGGCCATCTCTCCCTCACAACCACGCTCTAAAGGAGTACGATTAATATCTTTGTTCTGCAGATGAAGGAATAGGGGTGCAGAGGGGCTAAGCTACTTGCCTAAGGTCATAACTAGGGAGTGGAAGTCCTGGATAAGGGGAGTCCCAGATTTCTCCAATTCTGTAATCCTATAGTTTTGTTTTCTGGATTTTTGTTTCTTTTATTTGTTTTTGTTTTGGTCATGCCCCTTTCTGCTAGGGTGAGGAGACTTCAGGTTGGGGTGGGGTACCGACAGATGGCCAAGGCAATCTGGAAAGAGCAAAACTGTTACATCCCGGGGGTGGGGGTGGGCACCTGGATGCCCTTTTCTGGATCTGAAAAACACTGGGCTACCTGGGCCTTGAGCAGATTTGGGTGTCACCTGGGTTTTGCTGTTGCTGACTCGGGGAATTAGGCTGGCTGGTACTGGGGGCTCCTGAAGCTTGCTTGTGTCTGCATATATTCATGGGAACAAGTCCAGGGACACTTCCTGGGGGGCCAGGCTTACAGAGACCCCACTGTTCACAGAAGCCCCCAAGTTTGCAGAAGCCCAAGCGTAGTCTCCTCTGCCCTTGTCACCCCCTTTCTGAATGTATCTGTGTGTTTCTCTCTAGACTGCAGGCTGCTGTGAAGGCAGAGACCAGATGTCACATGTTTATGTCCCCTCCAAGCACCTCTACAGGTCTTGGGTGAGTCAGCACACCTCTGCAAGCCTTGATTTCTACGTCCATATAGTGGGATAAAGTTTCTACCCCGCAGGGTGCTGGAGACATGCAAGGAAAGCCCTTGGCTTAGGGCAGACCCTCAGTGAGTGCTCAGGGAACTCGGTGGCCTTGACGTTGCCCACACCAATAGGGATTATGCCGGGAGAGTGGATGGCACAGCCCCAAGTCCACACGTGAGAAGCAGGCAGCAAAGCGGCTTGTGGTTCCCTTGGGGCTGTCGTCCTCCGGGAAAGCTAGACTTCTTTATTGTCTCGAGCGGCCTAAAAATCAATTAGTGCAGAAGGAACTGCAGTGGGTCACTCACCTTGGCCTCCCACCCTGTCCCGCCCTGAGTCCTCGTGGCCCTTGGGAAAGGTGCTTCTTGTGCTCTTCCAGGTTTCTGTGGCATGGGGACATTTTGATCTGCAAAGTCAGTGTTGTCTGAATAGCAAGCATATCCCTCCTTCGCCCTCCGGTGGGCCTTTCAGGCTGCATTGGCCACCGAGAGCCGCCTGTCACTTCAGGATGGGTCCTTATGGTCGTATGGAGGTTTCTCCCTGACTTTCCCCTTCTGGGAGACTGGAACCAATGGGGGAGAGCGGGGAGAGGCCAGGATGCTTTGTATTTATTTGTGTGGTGGCCATGCCGGTGCAATAAAGCTCAGGCTAAGGGGGCAAAGCTGCCTTCTCCCCCCTCTGCCATGTGTTTCCCAAGCCACCCAAGATGGAGAACCCAGCCCTGGGCCATTCGCATCACTAGCCCCGGTGCTTGATGAGGGTGACAGCCCCGTGCAGTTGAGCAGCCGCCCCTCCCTGGGTTTGAATAAAAAAATCACAAGCCATAATACACATAAAATCCTAATGTGCCTTCAAAATTACCTCATCTTTTATTTAGAGGTTATTCCGCCCTTGTCTTCCTTTATCGCTCTTTATATGACCGGAGTGGCTGAGCAGCGCCAAATGAGGCCATCTCGGTGGCTGAGCGGAGGGAGTGTTTATGGCCCAACTTCGGGGGGCGGCCAGGCCCCAAGAGTCCCTTCATGCCCCCCCCCCCACGACAGCCTGTTCCATTTGGAGGCTGCTGCTTCCCCACCAGGTTCGTTGTTACATTGTCCTTCCAAACAAACGTGGATTTTATTGTATTTCTAAGTCACAGGGAGGTGGCTTTCTGAGAAGCTCTGATTTTGGAGAGCGCTGCAGATGCCGCCGTGGCCAAGGCTGGGCTCTGACACTCCCAGGGCCACTCCCCGGGCCAAGGCTTCAGCTCAGTGTTTCCAGCCAAGGTCCTTGTTCTCTGAGCTCAGGATCCTTGACATTTAAAGGCCATGAAGAGCTGTGATTTATTCTTAAGCTCAATTTGGAAATGGGGGTGGGAAAAAAGCAAAGATCTAGTTTTACAGGTTAAGTCAGGGTTCTCCGATATTAGCACATATAAGGATCACCTGGAGGGCTCATGGAAACAGGGTGCAAGGTGGTTCTGATTCTGTAGGTTCTGATTCTGTGGGTCTGGGGTAGGGCCTGAGACTCTGCATTTGCAGGGATTTCCTTGGTGATGCTGATACTGTGGGTCCATGGGCCAAACTTTAAGTATCACCGGCTAGAGAGGTCAGTGAATTAAGGCGAGGGTGTGTGTGTGAGAGAGAGATAGAGACCAGAGGTAAAGAAAGATAAAGAGATGAAGAGAGGCTACACACACACACACACACACACACACACACGGTGACTTCACTTTCCTAGGTAAGAAGGTTTCCTACCCAGGGTGAAGATGGGCTTAAATTACAGTGAATTGGATTCTAGATTTGAGAACTGCTAGACCTGGAGTATCCGGCTAATGCAGCTCAAGTCTTTCCCTCTGCAGACATTTCAAAAGGCCGGACAGGCTATTATTGGACTTTGGAAATGCCTGGAGCCTGGTCCTGCTGGGAGACAAACAGCGTCCTCTATTTTCCACAAGTCTTTGGAATTAAAAAGATCTCCGAGGAAATAACAGCCACCGCTCTTTAAGCGGTGCTAGCATAGATAAGCATAGATAGCATAGGGTTAGAGGCCAGAGTCTGCCATCAGACCAATGGGAGTTTATCTTGTGATCTCGGGCAAGTTAGAAAACCTCACTGAGCCTCAGTTTCCTCAGCTGTAGAATGGGATAAAATGAGCACCAACCTCAGATGCTGCTGCAAGGATTAAATGAAATAATGCTTGTAAAATCTCCCAACACAGCCCCTGGGATGCAGTCAGTCTCAAAAGCATCACTGTTGTTATTTTAAGCATCTTCTCATCTTTTCTGAGCATCTCTGAGCACTTCCTTAGATGTGAGGAGTACCTATTGAATACTTATTACCTGCCGAGCTTTTTTATAGTCATTATTTTCTGTTATCATCCAGATTCGTTGATTTACCGATGAGAACACAGCTACTCAAAAAGATTAAGAAAATTGCCCTGGTTTTTTAGAAGTCACAAAGCTTACAGGCGGTACACCTTGGGTTATACCCAGCCTGATTGGCTCTCTTCCCTCTGCAACCCAGGTGGAGCTGGAAATCACTCTTGGCTCTGCTTGTTGGAAAGCTGTGTGATATGAGGCCACAGGCTCACCCTCTCTGGTCCTCATCAGACAAGGAAGTGAAAGGATTAGATTACTCGTAATAAGTACAAGTTTCCTTGCAGAGGTTTTAATAATAACATTAAGAGGCCTGCCAGGTGTTTTGCAAGGATGTTCATTGGACCTGGTCAGGCTTTACTTATGTCACCGTGAATTCAACAAAACTGAGCAAATATCTATTGAGCATCTACTATGTGTCCAGTATTATTCTAATCACGGGGATGAGGCAGTGAATGAAACAGGAAAGTCGCTGCCCTCCCAGAGTCTGTTCTACTTGGAGGGATGGTGGTGGAGTGGTGGCCATAAACATATAAACATACAAGCAAAGGAAAGGGGAATAACAGGCCTTGAGTTGAATGTTTAGAGTGTTCCAGAAATAGCCAGGAAGCCAACATAGCTGGAGTGGAGCGAGCTGGAGAGAGGACAGCAGAGGGCAGAGCATGTGGAACCCTGTGGGTCATGGAATCTCGAAAGGGAAGCCGTTAGTCTTGGTGCAGGTTCCCCTAGGTGCGTATCCTGGGACAAGCCTTTGAGTGTTTTATGTGGGAATCTGGTTTCCACAAAACACCAGATGAGAAATGGAGAAGTGAGACAGGAAAGAAAAAGGGTATCTCAAACTGGTTGCCACTGCGCGTCACTGGAGCTCAGTCCTGCTGGATTAGAGGCTGCCTTCATCTTTCCGGGATCTGAGCCCCCCTCATCAATGGCTGAGGGCTGTGTCCAAAGGTGTGAACCACCTGACAATTCTGCTTGCCCCGTGCTTGGCTATGGGAGTGTCTCCAGCCAGGAACAAAGCCCCGAGACAGAGAGCTGTGGGAAAATGGCCTTTGGCTTGTACAAGTGAATGAAGAAGGGACTTGGCCAGGGCACCGAGGCTTCTAGGACACCTTTGGCACCATATGTCCATATGTATGCACATTGTAATCCCAATTTAATTTTAAAATGATGTATAGGAACAGAAAAAAGACAAGAAGAAAACAAAGTATAATGTGTCATTTTCTTCTTTATGTCATTGCATGTACTACTTTTATAATTGTAAAGAAGTGTACTTATTAAAAAACAGAAAATCTCTGCAAAATATTGAGTGAGGGGTTTTTGACCAAAGCTTGAGATGAGCCAAGCATGTGGATGCCACAGGTAGGTGGTCTGCAGCGTAGACTTTGCCAAAGATGAGGCCTGAAGTGATGGCCAAGCAGCCTTGTAAACATTCATGTCTTCAGCGCCGTGCCCTTGGCAGGCCCCCAGGTCTGTCTTTTGCTTCAACGGTATTTGGATGGAAGAGACCCAGGGACACACCTTCTTCCAGCCTCTGACCGCCCTCCAACTTCTTCTCCAGGCACCACCTTCAGAACCTCCCCAGCCATCCTTAGCCTCCGAGACCAGCCAACACTGGTTTCTGACCTATTTCCGAGCAACCGTGAGCTCCCAAATTCATCAAAAGTATTCCACCGAGGTGGAGGCTGCCGTCAACCGCCCGGGCAACCTGCATCTAAGCCTCCTACACCTACCTCTTTCTTTCTCTAGGCTTCTATTTTGACCGTGACAATGTGGCTCTGGAGGGCGTGGGCCACCTCTTCTGCCAGTTGGCTGAGGCGAAGCTGGAGGGTACCGAGGGTCTCTTAAAGATGCAAAACCAGCACAGCAGCCTCGTTTTCTTCCAGGACTTGCTAAAGCCTCCCCAGGATGAGTGGGGTGAAGCTCAGGACACCAGGGTCCTGGAGAAGAACCTGACCCAGCCCCTTTTGGATCCGCAGGCCCTGGGTTCTCCCCGCGCAGACCCTCAGCTCTGTGACTTCCTGGAGATCCAGGTCCATATGGGCAACACCTGGCTCACCTCCGTAAGCTGGGTGACCCCCAAGCTGGGTGACCCCCAAGCTGGGCTGAGTGAGTATCTCTTTGAAAGGCTCACCCTCGAGCACCACTAGGAGCTTTTGGAGCTCAGAGGCCTTTGAGGGGCCCCTCGCATATCCCTGGTGTCTGGCCTCTGCCTGAGCCTCTCCCTGAAACCACCGCCCCAGAGCCCTCTCCCATGCACTGGCCCAAAAGGGAACAATAAAGCTTTTTGCAAAAAAACCCCCAAAAACCCACCACCACAACATATTTATGTTTTCTTCTCTGGTTAGGTCTGCGCTGGCGAAAAGTAGCTGAAGGTGGAGAAATTTCTCAGAGAATCTAAGACAAGTAATTCTAAGTTGCAAAATTCTCCTACCAAGCCAACNCTGTCAACCTTCTCGATGAGCCTGGAAGCAGATTCTTCCCCCTTTGAGCCTCCAGATGAAGACGAGGCCCTGTGCGCTCTCTCTCGGGAGCACGCCCGCTGCGCCTTCCCTCAGCCCTCTTCTTTCCCTAAAAAAGTAAAATAAAGTGAAAATGGCCCTGGCCAGCTTGGCTCAGTGGTTAGAGCTCTGGCCTGCGGACTGAAGGGTCTCGGGTTCGATTCTGGTCAAGGGCACGTACCTTGGTTGTGGGGATGTGTGCTGGAGGCAACCAATTGATGTGCCTCTCTCACATCAATGTTTCTCTCTCTCCCTCCCTCCCTCCTTTCCTCCCTCCCTTCCTCCCTCCTTCCCCCCCATATGCTTCCTTCTCTCTGTCCTTCCTTCTGCTCCCCCTCTTCATCTCTTCTCCATCTGTCTTTTTTTCTTTGTCTTTCTTTCTCTCCATTCATTCAATAAATGTTCACTGGGAGTCTTCCATGTGCCAGGAAATACGCTAGATGCTAGGGAAACCATTCATTCATTTGCTCATTTATTCATTCAGAAAATACGAAGTCCCTGTGATGTGCCAGACACTGCGCAAGGCACTGAGTACACGGCAGTGAGCAGACAGGCAAAAATGGTTGCCCTCCTGAAGCTTATGCTCCCGTGGGGGGAGATGGGCAATAAACCAAACGGAGATGAATGAAACCCGTAGTATGTTAGATGATTAGAAAGTCTCTGGAGAAAAGTGAGTTAGACAAAGAGCGTAGAAAATGCCAGCGAGTGTGGGCTGTGGGCTTCGATCTTAAGTGAGCTGGCCAGGGAAGGCCTCACTGGGGAGGTGGCAGCATTCCAACAAAGACCCGAGGAAAGAGAGCATTAGAGGAAGCAGGCATAGCTGGTGCAAAGGCCCTGAGGTGGGAATGTGCCCAATATGTTTAAATAATAGTAGGAAGGCTGATGTAGCTGGAGAAGAGCCAGTGAGGGGACAAGTCATAGGAGGTGGGGTCAGAGAGCTATGAGTGGGCTGGGGGCTGTGCAGATTTCATAGGGCCCCGTAGACCAAGGTCAGGATTTGGACTTTTAGTCTGAGTGAGGGGAGGGCCAGGGGTGGCTTTTGAGAGAGGGAATGACGTGATCTGACTTGTGGTTAACATAGTTTCTCTCACTGTTATGAGCCCTGGGAGCTCATAGCCTCATGGGGGAGAAAGTCCTGCAAACATTCGAAATGAAAATAGCTGTGACAGAATGTGTCCTGGGGACAAGAGACCATCCATGGGAGCATTTGTGCCTGGATTGGGCAAACTCTGAGGAGGTGTCAGAAAATACTTCATAGAGGTGGTGTCCCCTGAGTTAAGGCTTGAGGATGAATGGACCGTACTCACCAAGGGATGGAGCAAAGGGCAGTCTGGGCGGAAGGACCAGAGGCTCGAGGAGCTTGGCTGCCTGGGGGCACCACAGACGGAGTTCGGTGGGGCTGGAACAGAAAGTATGAACAGTGAGTGGCACGAGAGAGTTGGGGGTGTGGAGAGTCAGGAGGGGAGAGAAAGCCAAGAGCCACATCTGGAAAGTCTTGTCAGCTCCAGAAAGACCCAGAAAAGAAGCAAAGGGGCTTCTTGAGGGATGTCAAGCAGGAGGACCAGGGCTGCTGTGCAGACACAGGTTAATCTGTATGGTCCTCGCCTTTCAGTTGTCCCATATTCTGCCAGGAAATGGTGTGAGGAGTGTGATGTAGCCAAGCGTGATGGTATCTTGGTTGCACTCCGCCCTCGTGAGCAGTCCTGCTGGGTGACAGAGGGCTCAAGAATGAGCCCTGTCAGTGGGTGGGCTCCTCCAGTCCAGCTGATGTCGCAGGAATTTCATGATTGCGTCTCCACACCCAGCACTGGGAGAAAGGGAAGGTAGTCTCTGCCTTTCACCCTGACCCCCAGCATCTGTCCCCAGGAGTAGGAAACTGGGGGCTTCCTGGGTGCATTTTATTTGAGAGATTCTTGCGACACAGATGGCTTGGGACAAGCCTAAGGCCCCTGGGGGCACAGGGTGTGGGCAACAGGCAGTAGCTAATAAGTGAACGCATCTAACAACGCCAGTGCTCTCTGACATTGAGAAGTGCTGTGGAAACACCCATAGAGCAGGGGCCGGGGATGCGGGATGGAGGATGCGGTTCAGGTAGAAGGCCAGGAAACCGCGAGGCCACGAGGAAGGGAAGGAGCGAGGCGGGAAGATGTCCAGGGAAACATGCCTGGGCAGAGGAAATAGCAGGGGCAAAGGCGACCTGCTGGGACTACCTGGGGGCTTTCAGAAGCAGGCCAGGGTGGCTGGCAGAGACGCAGGGAGTGAGGGGAAGATGCAGGCGGGTACCTGAGTGACCTGGGCCCATTCACATAGGCCATGTGGGCCATCGGAGAAACTTGGGACATGATGCTAAGTGTGGAAGATTTTGAACTGGGAGTGATTTTGAATGTGACTGATTTATGCCATAAGGAGCCACGCTGGCCTCTGCAGGGGGAACTGGAGCAGCAAGGGCAGGAAAAGGGCAGGTGGTTGCTATAGAGTCCAGGGGTGGAGGTGAGCAGGCCAGATTGGGACTCCGTCTTGAAAGCCATCCAAAAGGCTGCTGTGTCACCCAGCCCATATTTATTGTGCTCATACCACGAGGATACAGGAAAGAGAGCACATGACTCCTGTCCCCAAGAAGCATGTACTCTCATAAGGAGAAACACGCAGCAAAACAGACCAGCATGTGATGAGAGCCCAGAGGGCACATCACCAGGAAAAGGCCAGGAATGACCTCACACAGCACATGGCCTTCGGGCTGAATCTCAAAGAGGGGGCAGGAGTCTGCTAAAAGGGCAGGGAACTCAGGAGGAAGGGCATTCCGGGCAGAGGGAACAGCCTGTGCTAAGGCATCCTTGCTTGTTCAGAGTCATCTTCCCTTCTGGCGAATCTGGGGAGACTGGGCCTGACTGTGGTTCCTACTGGTATTGCCAGTGCCCAGAAATATTGTTATCAGATAGATAAAAAACTGTATGACGCACTTGAGAAACTGTAAGTTGGCTTGTCATTTGGCACCCAAAATATGATGAGGGTGTGGCACAGAGACTCCAAATTCTCTATACTGGAGGGATTTGGGAGAGGTAATTGAGGGGACCGTGGAGCTGTGTCAGGCACAGCCCCCTACGTAAGATTGGGAAAAGTCAACAGTGCACATCACGGAATGGGGTGCCACTAAGGAGATGATGGGGTGACTGTTCCCCACTCACTCCCTGGCACCACCTTTGAACTTGGAGGCAAGTCTGGGGAGACCAAGGGCAGGCAGGGCTGCGTCTATCCTGCTAATGAGTTCCGACTAATGCAAACAGGGAATCCTTAAGGTGAGTGAGAGGTACTGATGTGCCTTCCAGAGAGTTCACTCGGGAGCGCTGAAGAAGACAGAGTGGATGATGCAAGACTAGTCGAAGGAGAGGGAGGCTGGAAGGCCTGTACAAACACCTACTGTGATCTTCCCTTGGTAAAACCTTCTTTGGGACACACGCCCAATTCTTGTCTCTGCTGGCTGGTCCTGGGCCCTCAGGAGGGAAGGCTCTAGAATACACAGGAAAATCCAGACAAGTAGAGAATGAAGAGAGGATGGGATCCAAGTCCCAGGACCCACCACAGCTGCCCAGCCAGCACTGCCTCCCTCTCACCTTCAAGCCAGGCTCTCTTGGCAGTAGGCATAGGAATTGGCCCGGGGCAAGTTCCCCAGGTAAAAGGTGCAACCTGGGCGTGGGCCGGTTTCCTTGAGAAGGCTGCTGCTTTCCCTCCGGCTCACCCTCACTGCTGCTGAGTAATCTGCAGGCTGCAATCTGTGCGTGAAGAACTCTTGCGACAGAGCAGAGTGTCAGGCTCCCAGGTAAACAGCCGATGTGTGTGCCCAGAGCGGTGCTTACATCTCTCTTCTGGGGAACCTCCCTCCCCGCTGGCTCTGGGCCCTGCCTGTCTGTTTTACTCTCTTAGGCTACCCTGTCCTTGCCTGGGAACCAGGTCAGGGGCCCTGCTGTCAGGTGTCACAGGCATGAATCAGGCCTCCGAAGGAAGGCTGGAGATCTGGGCTGAGGCCAAGCAGGAGGGTTAATTGGGTGACTTATCTGGTCAATAGCCAATCTATTGGCCCCCTCCCCCTAAGAGAACTAGGAACCTGCATATATGATGGGTCATCTCTCTGGAGGGGAAGTTTAGGTAACTTCTAAAGTCATTTTGGTCAAGAATGACTTATTTTTCCATGCCTTTAGTGGAGAATTTAATTTCTGGCAAATGGGGGACTTTGGAGTGGTGAGAGCTAGCCATCATTTTGATTATCTCTTCAGTTGGCCTATGATTTTCAGGGTGGGTGAAATTTCCAAGACAAATTTACTCATGCTA